CTCCTTTATTAAACACTGTCATAAGAAATCTTGAAAATCTGAAAAATGTTCCCTGAAGATTTGAATGTTTGTTATGTACCCCAATTTAGTCCTCCCACATGAGCCAAACTACATGGAATCTGCAGTGTGAAATTAATGATTTTCCAGGACTCTAAAATGTGCCATTAATATGCATCCAACTCGCCTCTTCCCTGAGCTGAAGGTGCCTGTCCTGACCCTGCCTGCACGACTCTACACCCAGTTGCATTTTCCAGCCCATGGGCAGCTCCTCAATTAAACACCACATTCACTGGGAGGAAGGTGTGCAAAACATATTTCAGATCCTTTAAAGGAAAAGGCACAACCTGCAACACAACAAGGAAGGGGTGATTTGAGAAATGACAGCACTGTTTTTTTAAGCTTTCACAGAATAAACACAGAGAATGGGAGGGAAACTTTGTCCCCCTCTGCTCCTGTTCCTGAAGTGAATACATATTTGTGTTTCCAATAAAAGGCCATTTTTACATTAACTGTCTGTAACAGCAGGAGACAGAAAAACTAACAAAATCTCCACATCACACACAGGATGATCTTCATATCACGTGGACCTATTCTCAAAACTATTATTTATATAAAAAAAAGACGACTAGGAAAATGCACGATGCAGCTTTTCTGTGTCACCAAAAAGGTATGTCTGAAGAACTTTTGGATCTTTGGGATCTTCTACATTTTAGATTTTTTTTTTTCTTTTTTGGCTATCTGAAGTAAATTTAGCAGCCATGCGGGCCACTGTGTTTAATTAAGCTTTCAAAAGTCCTCTGACAATGCCAACAATTGTAGGACACTTCTGCGGCTCAATCATGCAATCACTGTGACAGTTCTATTTACAATTTGTCTTAGAAAGAGTTTCTCTGACATTGTACTTTGACAAAACATCCAAGCTGCCAGTTCACAACCTTTCTCTGTCTTATTTACAAATACAGCTTGTATATAGGACTCCAGTTTCATGAACATGAGTCTTTGGGTAAGGTGGCCTCACAGACATAGTAGGCTTCCTATGAAAATCCTAGATATTTATTAGGAAACAATATTCTCTACTCTCTGGATTCTAAAGGTAAATAAAATGTTTGCCAGTACATTGTTGGTTTTTTTGCTATTAGTTTTTTGGTTTTTTGTTTTTTTTTTTTTTTTTTTTTTTTTTGTAGTGGTCCTTTTTGTTTCAGCTAGCTGCTAGGCTGAAAATTCACTTCAGAGGTCAGTAGTTTTTATTCAGAAACACACAAATAAGAAGAAATGAAAAATAAGTAGTCATAATGAATACTTTATAATCTCATTTACAGTTATACCAGAAAGTATACAAATACATCCTTCAGTTCATGCTGAGCTAGGAAAGGATTAGAATGGGTACAAATAGAAAAGGCAAGCAGATTTTCTAAATTCTGAAAAGCATAAGTATGATACACTTGATTTACCTGCAACATGCTAATGTATTTCTATTTTGAATTAGTATTGCCCCCTTCGGTAGGCCGTCCTACATACCATTATACTATCTAGAAGTATAATTTCAAATACCCTGATAAAAATGTCTGTTCATTATTTTAAGAAGAAAACAATGTCACATATCAATAACCACAGACTACTACTGCATTTCATAGGATTTGTCGTATTTTTCCTTGTTCTCTCTATATGCTAATTTTATGATAGCCCAACCCTAATTTAAAGTTTCCTATATGCAGTAAACCAAAACTTCAAATCTAACACTATGGGATACATTTTTGGCCTTTTTTGTGATGGATCAGCAATTTTACATTCACTAATCTCATGTGGTTGATGGAGCTATTTTTGTTTTTGATGGGGGATATTTGACATACATATTGATGAACAGGATCCATACAACATAAGCTGCTAATTTCTAGTTGATACTATTTCAATGGTCTCCATGGAGCACAATCACACAATATCTTGACTATCTGAATAAAGTGGAAAAAAAAGCAACCCGATCAAAGTCTGTGTGTACAAGTAACATGTACATGGATGGAGTAAGGGAACACATGTCCATCTATTCACCAGGCAGAGAGCATTCTCCAAGAAATACGCACCTTTGGGATACCTAAGTACAGTCAAATGCTTACCATTCTACTACAGATCTTAAGAACTCTATCTTATTCTCCTATTTGAAACCTTGAATTCCAGGGTTTATTTATCTTAGGAAAACCTGTCACTGTTTTACTCCTGCTTCCTACCTATAAAATGGCACAGAGCACACTGTGAACTCAAATCTAACTTACATCGCTTTAATAAAGCCTTTCCCATACATCCTGCTTAAATGACTACCTTTTATGTAGTTGCTGAACATATTCTCCTGGAGATTTGTCAATATATCTCTTTCCTAATATACAACATTGCTTCGCCTTACTTTTTGTGACATACAATTCAAATATCTACTGAATGATTACTGTTATTGTTTCCTTCCTCATCACAAAAAAAAAGAAAAGCAGGCCTGGAATTGTGAAGTGCTTTAGAGAGATGGGCTGGGAATACACAGCCATCCTTCCAGAAATTCACTTCAGGGGCACCTGAGGGCCAGAACATCATAATTTATGTGCAATGGTAGAATGTTAATTTCACCATAGGAAACTCTTAATTCATTACTATGAATTATGAGAAGTCATGATTCTAGTTACTGACATCTCACTTTGAGATGTGACCATGCTATTTATGTTCAGCCAATTCCGGTGTGGGAACAGGTGATTAAACACAATGAAAGGAATGAAGACTTTGTAATTATTCGTGCATGAAAGGTTTACCTCACCTGGGTCACAGCACTTGTGCACCCATTGAATATCTTAGACACCTTAGATAGCTTTCTGTCTTGGTGAAATTATGTAGTACTAGCCCTATAAAATATATTTCAAATTTGCTTGCTTTCTTTTTTCTTTTTTTCTCTTTTTGGCTTCTCTAGGCTTTGCTAATGTACGAATTCTTAAAAATAAAATAACAGAATCATTATGACAACCAGGGAGTTAAAGCCAATTTCCTTCTCTGTGTAGACTCACAATGCAAGAATAAAAAGCCTTAACTATTTATAAGGCCCTCCCCAGCCTTCAGATTCCTCCTCTAAATAGAGGCCCAGAATTTCAAACTGGCTAATCTGAGAATGAATAACCTATCTGGGACCTCAGTAAGAATTGTGGTTTTAATTCTTGCCTGACAGACACTGTGTTTTGTCTTTTAAACGAGCAGCTCCATATGTAAATACAATGTTACATCACGCAAGCGTTACTCCATATTTGGTGATTTAGCAAGGCTTTGGATCTCCAAAGACGACAAATCCCCTTCCGCCTGCTCTTGCTTCATTAATCATGCCTTACACTTCTGTTCATTTTCCTTCCAGTCACAAGGCAGCACATGGAAATGGTCATTGCCATGTCCTACTGGGGAGTGGGGGAGATAAAAATCTTAACCTACGCCTCACACAAGCTAAATGTGGTGGATTCAAGGAAAACACCTTGCAAATGCAGCTTCCCTATAGCAGACTTCTCATTTCACTAAAGGAATAGCATCTGGATGCTATTGCAGAATGCATTTTTAAGAAGAAGAAAGAAAATGCCACGTTTGATTTTAATGATCAAATTCCAGAGGGAAAGAGGAGAAATAATATGACATTTAATCCCCACCACCACCAGTGACCTATTATGGTTCAACTTTATAGTCAAACTATGTTGGAGAAACAAGTTCCATTGAATCTATTGATTATATGCACTACCTTGCCTAAAACTGAACAAAATTTCTGCCTTTCCAGGAGTGTGAAGAGATGGAAGAAAATGAAGCACTGATAGGCGTGGCATGTCTGTCACCACAGACTGCATTCACCTTGTCTAATCTGCTAAATTTAAAAATAAATGTTTTAAGGGTCACTGCATCACGCTGCTGTTTATCATTCAGAGTGCGGAATTTAAGTCCCTCTATTAGCCTTTCATTCCTTTTCTCTTTGACTACTAAGAAACCTACACACACCTAGCTACCTTCCTCATAAAATTAACCGAAGGAATGAGAGCTTTTGAGTAGGTGTACGCATTTTTCCAAGAAAATTTTTACATTGTGTTTTAGCAGAAACAGTGGAGTCTGAACTGGACATCTGTAAGGGTGACATGTGGTTGTGTAAACCACAAACAAAATCAAGATACATCTGTCAAACCCACATCAGAGACAAGAGAGAGCACAGAGAAGCATTTATCATTGAGCTGAGGAGGCAGGCTGCAGGGAGCAGCCGTTCCTGTCAAACCAACCTTTTGAAATTTCCAACATGCCCTTAAACTTTTCGAGTAAGCGTGTCTGTGCGCTTCAGCAACTGCCCTCTCTACTCTGTCCTGGCCAGTCGAAAATGGCATCTTAAAGTCAAGGTCACAGTGTCATCCCACCACGGGGCTGTGTTTAATTACAGCCCCATTCGGGCTGACAGCCAATATGGATCCAAGGCTAGCCCTGGAGCTCAGTTAACTCTTTCCACCCTCTCCACGACACCCTGGCAGCCCACCCCACTTCAGGGAAGCCCAGAGAACTAAGTGCACCCCTACAGAGGCCCAACCAGGTATCCTGGGGCAGACAGATCACTGGCTGAACTACAAATGTCTATATGGCCACTTTGTCTCTGCCATGTCACCAAAGCAGAAAATGGACACCGGAAACTGAGCTAGGTGTAGTGTAGTTGGGTCCAACACTTAAAAATGAGAAGGCAGCCAGCAAGAAGAAAAGAAATTCAGAATCAGCAGATCCAGCGAGAGGATATCAGGTGTGTGTACCTATTCCACCTACATCTGACTCTATGAGGTGGAAAATATTTATTTTCTGTGTTCTGGACATAAGCAATGGGAACTATTATTTTAACATTACAGGGCTGTCATGGACAGTCACATGGAGAAATACAGAAAGCACTTCACCACTCCTTACTACTTGGCTACAGCGCCTCTGAAAATGAAAAGAAAACATGCAAACAGCTTTTCTCCTCGCTTCTCATTTACCTGCTATGTGTTCCTGTTTGGGGCAAATTCCTCTAGATGACGTTGATAAACAATCGTCATCCTCTGGCGTGACCTGGATGCCAACCTCCACAGGATTGGATGCTTTTTTCATCTCGATTGGTGAAGGGGAAGGTGGCTTATCCACAGCTTTTTCTAAGCAGAGGCTGCCATTGCATTGTTTCCGTTTGTGCTCGATAAAAATAAGAATGTCCCCCAATGGGAAGTTCATCTGGCACTGCCCACAGGTGAGGAGGTCATGGTCCCCTTCCGGAGCTCCCAACGGGCCGTGGTCTGGTTCATCATCTGTAAGAATGGCTTCAAGAGGTTCGGCTGTGGTTGGAGAAACAAAAGCACAATTATTAAAGAGTGTTAGAGAGGGCAGAAAGGGGGCAAAATACATTCTCAACCCATCCCACCTCACCACAGTATGTAAAATGATTCTCACCTACTCCATAAAACACCCAGGAAATGTGAGCACACAAAATGTAAAATGACATGGATGTTATCAACAAGAAAGTAAATGTATCAATGAGTGCAAATCATCATGTATTTAAAGAAATCGGTCTGACTTTCATAACTCCAGAGAACATGAACATACACACACACACACACAAAATACAACTGGATCTGGTTCGTAAGTTTACAAAGAATGTGACTTAAATAGTTAACACAGGGGTCATTTAAAAAGCGTAAGTGGTAAGTACAAGAAAAACTGGTAAAAACATGGATTGAAACCAAATTTGTTTCCTTTTATTCCTGTACACGAAGTTGTCTATTGTGCCAAAGAATAAAAGATGTGAATAAGCACACACCCTTTGTGTGTGAATGAACATATACCTAAGTATACAGATGCAGCTTCGTAAATTAGAAAGCTACTATACCACACAGAAAATGTGCCACAGTTACACTGCCATAATAAGAAAACGACTGCATTCACCTGTGAACCAATCTGAATAATAATCATATCGCAGCATAATTTACACTACCAAAAACCTTTCTGATCTCACTCTCAGCAGTGTCACAAAAATCAAAGAAATACCAAATTCCCTGGAAATTCTCAGACACACAGATAAATGGGATACTTTTGAGTACTTAAGAAAATAAGCCAATTAGTCATTTTTTCATTGTGAAGAAAGAAATGCCTAAAATATTCTAAACATGTTTGCACTTGATGGCATCCATGACACAAAATCAGAATGGTAAAGTAAATGCCACATTTCAGAACAAGGCTGAGAAGTCCTTTCTTCAGACTTAAAATACTTCCCCTAATGTTGTCAAAGTTGACTAATTTTCTGAATGAGCTCCAAAACGCTTCATTATAGGACTATTTCTGAACACATAATCACCAGCGGATGGTATAACAAGGTAGACATGTCTCTTTCTTCTTCACTTTAAAAAAATAAAAAAATTTTAAAAACTTTGCACCAAAATACCCCAGCATCTATCTGGACAGCTTTTATCATTTTTTAAAAAACATTCCAAAGGGGAAAGGAGAACTGAGAAGTCTGCTCATGAAACCTTATGCTTGCTGTATGCAAAAAAAAAAAAAAAAATCACAAAATACAAAACACATCCAGGATGCTGCCAGTGCCAGTTAATAAAAGTGAAGCAGAAAATGTACAAGTCTTAAACAGTTAATCAGTCTGACCTTCTTTAGCAAGCTGCCAATTTCACATTTAATGAACTTAAAGCCACAGAGAATCAAAAAATAGATTTTAATTTGAGTGTAGAATATTGGAACAGATTTTGATAAAGTGCAAAAATCCAGTGAACTCAGGTTAAATTTATTTCAACCCTACCCAGGCTGAATATTGAGGGGGAAGATCTGGAGTAACTCCCAGATGTGCTGGGTGAAATAATATTGAGAGAGCCCTGCCTAGTTGCACCTGTGCTCAAGTAGGACATGTCATAATTTCTAGCCTCTGGTACGCCTCCTAATTTAACATAAGGTCACTACAGGAATATGAAGGTTATATCCTTACTAATAAAGACAGCAAAGTAAGCACTTAAGTGTTTCTTTGCCCAACATTCTGACCGAAAGACAAATACAGAATAGAATGAATGTACATGCATACTTTTCAAATGGAAGGAGATGAACCCAAGTGATTCTGCATCGTGCCTTTATGTCATTTTTCTCTTATGTTTGCTTTCATTTTGATCAAGTAAGGAATGGAATAGGGAAGTCATTCTCCAAGATCTCTGCCATTAGAATAAAGGATTTTAAGTACACATAGACAAATGTAGCTTTTGTTTGTTTGTTTAGCATGAACTACAAGTTTTGTGGTTTACACATTGAAGAAAGGCTCAGGAAAAAAGATTTTATTAAAGTTAAACCATTTTTGTAAATTCCATTGATAAGATTCGTTTTTATTCCCAAGGCCTGACACATTTCTGAATGTGGGACTACTATTTAGGATGAAATGGAAATATTCTCCTAGGTATCAAATAGTTAAAGGTATTGCAGTACAAAACAGACTTGGTTAAAGTCTTCTAAACGTAGTGACTGAACTGATTTACAATCAAAACCAGGAAATGAAGTGGTAATTCACAGGTTGCTGATTACACCTCCACATTTCACCTAATTAATTTTATAGGAGGCAAAGTTCTTGAAAATAACAAGATGATCAAATGTACAGATATAAAACCTGTAACCTCAACATTTTCTATGCTCTTAACGTAAATTATTGCTAATTAACAAGAATTATATCCTAATGTATGAAATACATTTAACATCGGTCTCTATGAAAAACATTTGGCTAGTAATGTTCAGAGAAAGACCAAAACGTGTTTTTATTACTGCTGCTGTATTATTAAAAATCAGACGGAATGGGGCACAAAGAAAATATGAAAATACAATTCTCTTGTTGCAGTCTACTGATTTGCATTGACATCTTTTCTCAGTGGCAATCAACATTTCCTTTCTGGGCATCAGATAATTTCTCTGTATTTTAATGCAAATTCTTCTTTCCCTAAAAACATTCCTAACCTCAGCCATTTTACCCCCCTCCCTCAATTCAACTCCATCCTCCTTCGCCCCCACAATACCATCCTTTACTAAGCTCTGGCCTAACTCTGGCTACAAAGCGGGGAGTCCTCGGTTGAAGTGGAAGGTAGTGGACAAATAATCATAATAACCGCGAATTCTGTCTACAAGGCGAGGAAAATATAGAAAATAAAATGCTTCAGCGTTCAGCAAGACACACTGGAACATCTCAGTGTCCCAATGCCAGACTCTTTTTCCTCTCCGTAGTTGAGGGGGAACAAAATTTTTTTTTTTTTAATCCTTAAAAGAAATGTCGGAAAGGAGCAAAGGAAAAAAAACGAGGGCTGCAGGGGGGCGGGGGGAGGGGTAGAGGGCGATGTGTCTACAAGTTTGCTTTCCAAGTCCTTCGCCTGAAATTTCTTAACGGAGTAAGGCAAGCGGAGGCTGAAATGCAGAGAGGAAAAGCAAAGAAACAAAAGCGAAGCCAAGGGCTACAAGCCTGGGGCCTGGGACCCGGCTAGGAAGGGCGGCACAGAAAGTGAAGTTGGGTGCCCGAACTCCGAGAAGCACAAAGCAAGCAGCTTCTCAGCTGCAGCCTCGGGCCGCGCTGGCTGAGAACACGTGCACCAGAGGCCCTGGGGCAGCCGACCCAGGGTCTGGAGGCGGCAGGCAGCCGGGGGCCTCGACTGCTGCCTCCACGCCCATCAAGCCCCGCCGAGGGGTGATGGTTCCCTGAGCCCGCCAGTTGGTGAAAAAGAAAGAGAGGGGTCTGGAAAACTCGGCTGGCTAACCTGGTTCATTCTTGCTTTCACCGAGCATACATGCCCTAAGCGCGGGTCCTAAAATTCATTCTGTGTCCACACGCTTAACACTTTCTACTTTGGACGATTTGTGCAAAAACACGCCC